CTGTGGCATTGATGCCTACACGGTCAGATGGATTGCGAATTGGCTGAAGGGTCATACTCAGAGGGTGGTGGTGGACGGATCATATTCAACCTGGAGGGAAGCGGGCAGTGGAGTCCCCCAGGGCTCGGTCTTTGGGCCCGCACTGTTCTTTATCAGAGATTTGGTCGACAGGGTGAAAAGCAACCTGTTCAAATTTGCTGATGATACCAAGATTTGGGGTGAGGTCGGCATGCTAGTAGGGAGGGAAAGACTACAGAAAGACCTGGATAGGTTGCAGGGGTGAGCTAACAAAAACAGGATGCGTTTCAATACGGACAAGTGCAGGGTGCTGCACTTGGGCAGTAGTAACCGGCAGCACACTTATAAGATGGGAAACTCCCTTCTTGAGATCACAGAGGCAGAAAGGGATCTTGGAGTCATCATTGACTCCAAGATGAACATGGGCCGACAATGTGAGGTCACGGTCGGCAGGGCTAACCAGACCCTATCGTGCATCCACAAGTGCATCTCAAGTAGGGCCAAGGAGGTGATCCTCCCCCTCTATGCAACACTGGTCAGGCAACAGCTGGAGTACTGCGTCCAGTTCTGGGCACCCCACTTCAAGAGGGATGTGGACAACATTGAGAGGGTCCAGAGGAGGGCCACCCGCATGATCTGGGGACAGCAGGGCAGACCCTACAATGAGAGGCTACAGGACCTGAACCTGTTCAGCCTTCACAAGAGAAGGCTGAGGGGGGACCTTGTGACTGTCTATAAACTCACTAAGGGGGACCAGAAGGGTTTGGGGGAGACCTTGTTTCCCCTAGCGCCCGCCGGGATAACAAGGAATAACGGCCACAAGTTGTTGGAGAGTAGATTTAGATTAGACATCCGTAAGAACTACTTCACAGTTAGGGCAGCTAGGATCTGGACCCAACTTCCAAGGAAAGTGGCACTGGCACTTACCCTGGGGGTCTTTAAGAAGCGGCTCGATGCCTACCTGGCTGGGGTCATTTGAGCCCAGTTTTCCTCCTGTCCAGGCAGGGGGTTGGACTTGAAGATCTACAAGGTCCCTTCCGACCCTACTTCTATGATTCTATGATCTGGTGTCCGGTGTTTACATTTCAATGGAAAGCAAGTATTTCATTTCTTGTTACTGCAGAAAGTTGAAACCCTGATTAGGGTTCCCAAGAAGTCTATATGTATCTTGTTATTAAAGTAGCTACGGACATTGTAATTTTGTATTCAATTATATCCCAGTGGGCATATCTACATGTGCAATTAAGTTGAAGCAATAAACTCCGGCACATTTTGCACTGGAGTTTACTGTTCCCAGGTGTACCGTTTGGACATTGCATATGAGACCACAGCATATTGAAACAGGTTGGAGCAGCCCCAGCTAGCAGAGGTCCTGCGGGTTAGCCTGCCAGCCCGGGGCTTCTCCCACATGGCTCAACATGCTCTGGAGGGGCTGAATGGAGCACAAGGGTGCTTAAGTGTGGGGCTAGCCAGCTGACAGTGCCAACACTGAAGCATCCTCATGCCCCCCACCCCCAGCCACCTGGGTCAGTATCTATACATATGTTGCTGTGTATGAATAAACTCCACAGCAGAATAGTACTTGTATTTATTTACAAGTACTAACCTGCTGCAGATTTTATTAGTTTTCTGCATCCAAATAGGGCCACAATTGTAGACACTGAGATGTTTACTGTGGAGGTAATTAGGGAACTCCACAGTAAACATCTTGTATAGACACACCCAGTCCTAACTGGTGCAGGATCAACATAAGCAATGGGAATTAACCATCACTGTTGTTATTAACTAACAACATAGATGAATTGTGGCAAGCATGTTTCTGGCCAAAAGAAAAACAAAAACCTGTGATATCTGTATCCCAACTGATATAAATATATGATATAGACAAGGATGCAGTATTTGTATCATGACTGATAGAAAGAGATAGCACATATTGCATTAGTCAGATTTTCAATGTATGCAGTACAAAAAAATAAAAACCAAACAATTGAACATAAACAAAGACATGACAACCTTTGATAACACTTTATGTGAAAAACCACAACTGATAAATTGAAGAGTCACTTCAGGCTCAGGAGCCACATTCTGAGTATTGCTGATATAGTCCATCCCAGATATAGCCGATGCAGCTCACAAATAGCTACAGAATTGTAAGTTGAAGTAATTTTTCAACTATGGCCATGTGACTAGAGCCAGCATCATTTCCAGAGTACAAAGAGTTTGATTTTTCTATTGCTTATAAATCACTGTGGGAGGACTATGTATCAGCATCATCCATGAGTTTGGAAAAAAATTTAGATTTTGTTGACTGGATTAAGGATTTATCCAGCAAAGATTTGCTCTCATTTATCCATTTTGAGTAGTTCCATTTGAAGCTGGAGAGAACCTCAGCAAGTTCAGGGCCTCAAAATCCTACCAGATCTCCTAAACATTCATTACTAACAGTGTAGGCATACTCACACATGCACATGCACACATAAACACACACACACCTGAAATCTCTCAAAAGCAGTGGAGACTCCTATAGGCTTTTGTGAGCTTTAGATCAAGTTCTGAAAATAAATAAAAGGGTCTCTTTTTCTCTAATGCACCTTCCTCATTCCTTGCAACTTCTTTTTTCTCTCACCCACCTACCATTGCTTCCTTCATCACACTTTTATGAATAGAAGGCTAACAACATTTTAGCACTTTAATCTTCAAAAATAAAGCATCTGAAGAACTCCTCATACATATCACAAACTAATGTTACATGCTAGAAAAGACAGAGAAAAATTATGAAAAAGAACTTTGTTCGCCCTGATACAGCAGAAATAGGAATGGCAGGGAGATTGGATATGAATCAGCTGCTAGGTCACACGTTTTATAAACTGTTCCCCTCCCCCACCCCAAGCAAGACATTGCGGGAAAATGGTCCTGGGCATACTTGATTTTCTGCATAGGGATTACCACACTGACCTATGAGATCCAGCTCTCCCACTGTTCTATAGCTAGTTCCAGATGTTTGCCTTTTGACCCCTATGTATGAAAAGATGAAGGGGAGGAACAGCAACATTTGAAAGGCTGTTGTATTCTTTAGTTGACTGGTTTGCTAGTTGGGGGTTACATGAAAGAGGTTTTGCAGTCTGTATTTTAATATTGCTCAAGGAATACCTAAAATGAGCAGATAGACTCTTTTTCCATGAAAAAAATAAAATAGTTGTATATAAAAAAGATGTGCAAGAATCTCCATCTTTGATCATTTTATGATAATCTGCCCATGTGGGATATTTCTTCCCAACTGTCTGCTTTTAGTTGCAGTTTTCAGTGTCCTCCCTTTCCTCCCATCCTCAGTGAAACTGGGATTAGTCACCAAACTTTAGCTTTCTCTTTCCACACAATAAGAGCAGGTACAAGGCCAATTACTATGGAGTATTTCAGGTTCAACATGTCTCCGCTCCCTTTTAACTCACTGCAGTTTGTTAGCTTTCCATAACTTTAAGGTGAAATTTTCAAAGTGCTTCCTTGTCCTCATTGCTTTTGCCTCTATAGCATTGCAATTTTTCAGGTTCATTGCATTGTGATTATTGTTCCATAGTGACAACTCCAATTACTACTTGAAATAATAACTGTTGAATTTTACTCTAGATAAAGATGAACATAATTCCTTCTCTTTCATTCTTCAGGGCTTCTTATTCAAAGAAGTTGTTTATGGCTCTAAAAACGTTGTCTCAAAGTGACCATGATGAATTTATCAGAAAGTAACCAAAGTTATGAAGATATGACTTATTATATTGCTTTTAACCAGTGAATGGTTGTTGGCAGAAGCCCCAGAGATGAACTGCGTCCTGAGTTTGTTTGGCAAGCAGCAATTTTGGGTGCCTGTACACAGGCAGGGATGCTGCTCTGATGCTCTGTAATTACAACATGTGTAAAGACACCCTTTGAGCTCTTCAGCCTTGTCTCAGCCTGTTTACACAGGAAGGGCCTTATTACATGGTAATTTGGGGTGGCTCCTGGAGCTCTTAAACCCTGGACTGTCCCACATTAATACCTTGTTTAAGCACTCATCATGCAGCTCAAAGTTACACCGCTCTAGGGCAGGATTATCTCTAATCTGCACTACCCAGATCCTGTCTCATTAAGGTGTGTCCACTCCCCAGAGATGTGGTGCCCAGATTGAAGTCTTCCAGTATCCCAGGATCTCTCTCACACTCCTACCTGTAGAGTTCCTAGACTAAGGGTATGACTGCTCCAAATTTGAAGCTAGAACTTACACTGATCAACATTTGTGAGGCTCACAGCAAAAAGTATAACAAAGTCCTAACTATTATCAGCTGCCTGAAGTTAAGGGTAAGAGAATTGAGGAGATAGTCAGACAGAGGTAATAAGGGAGGTAGATCTTGAATAAGGGAGGTAGATCTTGACCTAACACAGACAAAGGCTTACCAGCCCCAGAAGAGGTGCTTCATGTATGCTATGATCCTCCAGGCCTTGGAAGCAGTACAGTAACATCTGCCTGGACATGCAATCAAACAAATTAACTTAGCTAAATGGCACTGTCACTCAGCAGCACTAATTATCCCACCTGCATAACCCTTTGACTGTTACTACTCTACTTCTGGTTTAGGAAGCAGCCTACCTGAAGAAGTGCAGCATGTTTGAGGCATGCTGCTGCCAGGGATAGTAAATTTATTGCATAGACAAATAAGTAAGCCCAAGACATTTTTATCCTTAGATTGGAAATCATTTTGCTACCGTAGTTTACATAGAGCTTCACTTGAAAAGAAAATATCATGAACCAAAGAAATCATAAAAATATCTCAAGGATAGATGCACAGAAAAATATGTTTTATTAGTTCTAAAATGGGATTAAATGTCCCTTATGGGAAAAGCTGGAGGAGTGAACATAAAAACAAGTACTGGAGAAACAGGCTATACCTGAAAGACTAGCTGAAACTTCTGACTATAGTTATGAAGCAAGAGGCTAGATATCAAAGCTGATCATTCTTGCCTGGCCTCAACTGTTAAAACATGTCTAGATGTAAAGGAGGAGCCTGAAGATTCAGCTGAAAATGTGTGCATCCATTACCCACACTATCATATTCACTGGGACCTAAGAACAGCAGAAACTTATCATCGATCTCAAACTACAACAGGTATTAATATAATTTATTATTTATTTCCACAGGCTTGATGGAGAACTGTACCACAAGTGGTACTAGATGCCAAATTAGAAGATGAGGGAATCAGAACAGGGAGAGTATAGAGTGGCTCACTGATGAGGGCAGTAATTTGAATCCCACCACCTTTCTTAAGAAATTGGGACCAGGGAGAAGGGGTGGAAGGAGGATGTAGTAATGTGTGGTGAGTAGTAAAAGGCATGAATATAATAGAGGACATGGAAATGAAAATTATGGGTTTTGTTAAAAAATTGGAAGAATGAGAATAAGATAATTTGGAGATGAAAGAGAGAACTAGAAGAGACAGAAGAAAGTAGGGGCTAGAGCAACCCTTCTTGTAATAAGTCAGGTCCTTTTTGTTTAAGAGGAACATTGTAGACCCTGGGGTAGATGGCCAGGAGGAGGAGGAGACTTTCAATTGGATATCTCAAGAGCATGTTTAAGGGAGAAACTAGGGACTATGAAAGAAAACATGAGAGGTTCTTATATCAAAATTGAAAAAGGGGAGATTAGAAGTGGAACAACAGGATTCTCTACCCTTGAAAAGACGGAATGATTGGAAGGGAAAATGAAGGGTGACTTGTCTAAGCACTATGCCTGATGATAATGATGGATAATAATTGATCAAGAAATGAGTTAGCATTCCCACAATATTTCCATACAATGTTTTGAAGGACTCTATGAGGGAAAAGGAATAGTGGAAAGAATCATCTGACTAGGACAAGCATGGATCCTAGTGGGGTGAGGTAGTGCAGACACACACCTCTGGGTCTGCCACAAGTGAGCTCTTGGCATGTGGTTTGCCTGGAGCCCCTGCTTTCACACAGCTGCAGAGACCAGAGGGTAAGAGCTGCTGCCACTACTCATCCCCTTCTTTCTCTGCTGCTGAATTCAGTGGGAAGGGGAAAGTGGAACAGCAGCAGCATTCACCCTGTGGGCTCTGGAGCTACACAAAAGCAGGTACTGCAGCCGCTGCCTCAGTCGGCTGGTGAGCTCAGAGCTTGCTGCTTTTGCAGAGCCCTGGCAGGAGCCTAATCTGACCAGGCAGTGAGCTCAGAGCTTACTATGCATGCATGGCACAGCCAAAGCTGGAGGACTGTACCCCTCCTTGCCCCATGCCTGAATCCACTGCTGTGTTGGGCTCCCCAAAATCCTCAGCTCTCTGCAGTACCCAGCGAAGTTCCACCAGGTTCAAAGAGAAGCTTGTTTCTTACAGACATTTCACTCTGCAGCAGTTATTAGCTCTGAACTAAGCAGTCAGCAAACAGTTTAACTTTTTAAAATAATCTCATCTAAAATTGTAAATCGCTTCACAAAGAATATTAGCACCATTATTCCGTTCTGCAGGGTAGTTGTAGTTAAAGCTGATTAAAAAGTCTAGAACTGACAAGACAGAGCTAACAGGAACTAATGCAGAGCTTGCATAAACTGAATAAACACAAACTGATCTCTGAGAATGAATATATTATGCAGTAAAAACAGTAGCTGAATGGTTTCACATGGCAAGTCTGCAGCCTTTGATTGATGGGGTTTTTTTTTATATGAAGTTGGTATATGTTCCTTAGGCTGCTTGTGTCAGTTAAAATCCCACTGTTTCTATTTAGGGACTTATGTCACTGCTATGGAACAGTGACAGCCTGCTGGCAGCTCATCACCCCCGCAGCCGGGGGCAGGCTCTACCAGAAAAAAAACCCAGCAAGGGGCCCACTTTTTTTTTTCCAGTGAAGCCTGCCTACCTCTCTTGTGGCTGGGGGCCAAGTTGCCCATGGGCCCTGAGCTATGGGGGGCCCCATTCCTTCCCTCTGCGGCAGCGGTGTCCCCCAGTTAGCACTCACCCACTAGCACCCCACCCAGGTGGTCCTGGGGGGCTCTGCTACTGCAGAGAAAAGGACTGGGACCCCTACAGCTTGGAGGCTGCACAACCTGGTGCCAGCTCATGCCGGCACTCTCTGCTGAGAGGGAAAAAAAGATAAAAGTGGCAAGGTGCTGATCATTTTTTTTTCTCTCGAAACCTACCTGCATTCCCATGGCTTGGGGGTGAGCTGTTGGTGGGCCAAGCAGTCCTTGAGCTGTGGGGAGGGTGGGGGAGATCCAGGTTCTTCCCTCCGCCATGGTGGTGCCCCCCTGGAATCCTCTGGGCAGGGTGCTAGCAGACGGGTGCCATCTGGGGGGGTGCTGCTGCCATGGAGGGCAGGCCCCAGGCCCCCCAGCAGCAGCACACCCCCTAGTTGTGGGAGATGTGGGCAGGCTCTGCTGGAAAAAAAAAAGCAGGCCCCTCACCACTTTTTTTTTTCCTTTCTCAGCAGAGCCTGCCCACGTGAGCTGCTGCTGGGTCGTGCAGCCTCTGAACTGAGGGGAGGGGTGGAGACAGGACCCAGTGCTTCCCTCTGTGATGGTGGTGGCCCCCGTGGCCATCTAGGTGGGGTGCTAGCAGGTGGGTGCTGCCCCAGGTCACAGGCAGCATCCGCCAGATCCAATGGTGCATGAGGCACTGTAAACCTAGGTGTGCTCAGGGAATCTTGGGCTTGGTAGACTTCCAGCACCCCGTGCACCCTCCCTGCTGCTTTCCCACCACCTGGGGCTGCCTGGGAATGGGCTGGTTGGGAGTTCAGGAAGACAGCAGGACGGCGGCTGGATGTGTTGGCAGCCGGAAAAGGTGGTGGTGATGGTACACAGAGCACTGGAAGACTGCCAAGCCTGAGCTTCCACGAGCCCACCCAGGCTTCCAGCACCCTGTGCACAATCCCCACCACCTTCTCCAGATGTATTGCTGCAATTTGTTATATAGCAAACTAAAATACATCAGAAGTGTTTTACTTTGCTACATAACAAAGTCGTTTAAAGTGAAATATTCTACCGCATGTGTACAGTGTGACAAAATTAAAACATAATATGCTGCTGCAAGTGTAAATGGTGATGCCATAAAAATGGTTAAAAGGGACAATTAAACCAAGTAAAAGGCCAATTTCATCATGTGTACAAGTGCCCTTAATAGCTAAAGTGTGGGATTGTCCTAAAGAAAATGGAATAACTGTAAGTTTGGATGCAATCATTTGGATTCATTAGACACCACCCAGAGCAGCCTTGCTGGGTGTGTGCAAGCATTAAACTGAGATTACACATTTAGTAGTACAGCTAAGACCTTGGAAGCAGCTTGGGCACATCTGTGTTCCAAAGATAACACCCCAAAAGTTTCTAATATAAAACACATATTAGCTGGTATAACAACTGATCTCAGGGAAGATGAAGATTTAATGCAGAAGTCTTTCAAAAATATGTAGCGACTGAAAACGAAAAGACATTGGGGGGGGTTTGTTTTGGTTTTGTTTGTGGGGGGAGGTTTGTTTGCTTCTTTTTTAAGTAATGTCTGGAGTGGAATCTTATAGCTAGGTTGAAAATGTTACTGTAGGAACCCATACCTGTGATGTTAGATCTGGTGGTTTGGGGGACACTGCTGGGTTAACTTTTATTACAAGGTTGCTTTTTTATAACTCAGAAGACCTTAATTTGTAATATACAGGAAAGACTGCGTGTTCTAGTTGGGCACATCTTGGGTATTCCGTACATTATGAAAAAGAAAAATGCTCAGACAAGCACTTTCAGCTTTTTACATGCTACTCGA